AGCACCTGGGTTATCTCAACAGCCCCAGAAATCATATCTTAATAGAACTTTATGATTTTCCCTATAGATACCTTTCACCTTTGATAAGACTTCTCACAATCTGATATTTCTGCTTTCATTGCTGTGTAACAAGCTATAATAATACTCATTTAAGATTTATTATGCTGAGCAGTGGTGGCACACGCCTTTAATCCCAGCACTTGGGAGGCAGAGACAGGCAGATTTCTGAGTTTGAGGCCAGCCTGGTCTACAGAGTGAGTTCCAGGACAGCCAGGGCTACAGAGAGAAACCCTGTCTCAAAAAACAAAACAGAAAAACCAAAAAACCCAAAACAAAAACTTTAATAAAAATGGTGCTTATAGGTCTAGGGAGATAGGCCAATCAGTTAAGAGCTTCCCATATGAGCATGAGGGCCTGAATTTGACCCCTAGAAGTCACATGAAAAAGAGATAGCATACACTCTTAGTCCCAGCACTGGAGAGGCAGAGACAGGTGAATACCATCTGAACTGTCAAGATCCAGGCTAGTGATAGATCTTGTCAAAAAACAAAAACAAAGCACACACACACCACAATTGTGTTTGTGAGATAATCCCAATTTGGCAATACTATGTTATATATTTAGTAAATTTGTTGGATTCTTTATGCTGACCTCATAAATATAACTTGGGAGTGTTCCCTTTTCTATTTTCTGTATGTGAGTATATAGAAGTAATATTTCTTAACAATTTACCCACAGTAAAACAACTTGGCCATGTGATTTCTTATTTCTAAGTGTAGAGGGTTTCTGAGGTTTTGAATTATTTGTTCCCATGCTGGATATTTGGACCTAGGCCTTCTGGAGTGTTCAGCAGTGAACACTTTGGAACTACAACTGAGCCAGGAGTCTAGCCCTGCAGCATCTGAGTACCCACAAACTCCCACTGAGCTCCAACTTTATTCACGGAAAGTTGGACTGAATCCAAGCCCTTACACACACACACACACACACACACACACACACACACACACACACACTCACTGCCATTTGTCTGCTTCTTCACCTGGCTGATGTACAATGCCCAGACTAGCACTGATGTACTTCTTTCTAGATCCTCCCTCAGAGCCTCTGGACCAGGTTTGTATTTGTATTTGTGACAAAGGCTGCAAGATTTTCCTGCATGCCCCCTACACCATAGATGTTGGATATGACGATGAACGGGTATAGATTTGGATTGATTCTCGTCTTCTACACTGTCCTTCCTCTCCCCAGCTTTACACCTGACTCTCTCTTCTAAGTTCATATCTTGCAGAATGTGTGACTAGCATGCATGAGGCAGCACACCACACGCACGTTCAATCCCCTAACACTGGAGACCAGGGGAATTCATTTTTTGTTATTGTCTACTCTAACGGAAAACATATAGGAATCCTGGAAGACAGGATTCAGCTTGCCAAAATGACAACTCTCTCCAGCCCCTCAGCTTGGGATTTTGATGTAGGGAACAGGTGCTACTGCCATCTAGTGGTAGAAACAGCTTAATATCTGTTAATTATCGTGCACAACTGTCCTCCACAACAAATAGTCCAATCCCAATGACAATTGTGTGAGGTGGAAAGAACCGCTCTAAAATCGGCAGCTGGGAGAAGAAAAGTCCACTGTTTACTGGGGGATAACGAGGGCCCACGGAAAGTGTCAACTCCTGTTTATCCCCCAGACTCTCACTAATGGTGAGAAATGAGGCAAGCTTTGTTGGTGATTGAGTGAACCCTCACGACAGTGGACCTGGCAAATGTTAGGACAAAGTCTTTGAGACGTTGTCGTACTCTCTCATCACACCAGGCACTTCCTTTTCTCTCATTTTATAAAATGTCATCAAATTTGACATTTAAACTACACAAGTCGCCGGGCAGTGGTGGCGCACGCCTTTAATCCCAGCACTTGGGAGGCAGAGGCAGGCGGATTTCTGAGTTTGAGAGTTCGAGGCCAGCCTGGTCTACAGAGTGAGTTCCAGGACAGCCAGGGCTACACAGAGAAACCCTGTCTTGAAAAACCAAACCAAACCAAAACAGAAAAAAAAACAAAACTACACAAGTCAGTGCCATTAGTCACACTCAGACTATTGTGCACCAGTCACTAGTACGGTTTCCTGACTTTTCCACCATCTCAAACAGAAGCTGTAACCACTCTTTAGCATCTGGTGTGCCCATTTAACTATCTTATCTCTATAAATTAGAATATTATAGACATCTGTCCTTTTGAGTCCACTTACTTAATTTATTGTACTAGTTTGAGTGTAGCTGCCTGCCGCTATGGATCAACTGGGTCCACCTAAAAGGACAGTTGGAAATGAAGAAAGGACAGAGGGCGAGAAAAGATGAAGCCAAGGCAAAGTTCTCTGATCAAGGCTCGAAGTTTTAATGTTCAGCTCTCAATTTAAAGGGAAAGGCCCCACCAAAACCCTTTCTTGTTTCAGCTGGAGATGGGTGGGGGAACCCATCCTTTGTCACAGCCTGAGATATCTCAAGGTAAGCTCAGCGGGTAGTTATTCTTCTAAGTTCCTGTAGCAGGCTGTACCTGCAGCCAATTAACTCCACCTAAGTCCTATTATTTTTGGTCGATTGTGGTAAACAAGGTCTTTCAGGCCTGCTCAAGGCTGGGGGAAGGGCACATTTGAGTATGTGTGTGATGGTTTGAGACAGGGTTTCATGTAGTTCAGGCTTGCCTCCAACTTTCTGTGTAGCCAAGGCTGACTCTCTCTCTCTCTCTCTCTCTCTCTCTCTCTCTCTCTCTCTCTCTCTCTCTCTCTCTCTCTCTCCTCCCGTCTCTCTCTGATTTATTTTATGTGTATGGGTGCTTTGCTTGAATGTCTAGCTGTGCACCACATGTACACCCAGGGCCCTCAGAAGTCAGAAAGGGCATCAGATCCCCTGGAACCCAGAGTACAGAAGCTTGTGAGTTACCTTGTGGGTAGTGGGAATCCAACCTAGGACCCTGGAAGAGCAGTCAGTGCTTTTAATCATTGAACTATTTGGGATAAATCTACTAATATATATGTAACCTTTTATAATTTTTATTTAAGAATATTAATTTCCTATGCATTTGCATGTCAACTTTTATGCCCCACCCAATTTGATTTCCTTGTGTCTTCATATCTTTCATTCTATTATGAGCATTTACTTTATTATTTTTTTGAGACAAGGTTTCTAGATAGCCCTGGCTGTTCTGAAACTCACTAAGTGTAAGCTCCTTAAGACACACAAGTGGCCAGGCCCCTCCCCTGAGGAGCTCTACCATCAGGTTCCACCAACAGAACATGTTAACTGTTCTAGGTGCTAGACCCAACACTCACTCTAAAAGCCCAAGCTCTGGATTGGCAATCCCACCAATCTTCACCCTGCAAAGCTCCACCCTGGAAAGCTCTTGCTCCCCTCCCGCCAAGAAATCCTGTATAAACGCAGTCTTCTGCTCAGGTCTCTGCTACTTCTCACCAAGCAGAGGCAGCCGCCTTCCTGGGATTTTCCCTCTCAATAAATCTCTTGTCTAAGGTTTGTTGTGCAGTGTGACTTTGTGGTGTTCCTTGGCTCCAGACTGCCAGGATATCTTTTCCCTTAGAGCTACAACACTTTGGGGAAGCCTTTCCCCTCAGAGATGTAACACACTAAGACCAAGGTATTTCATTTTTAAAATCACATTTATTTTATTTATGGCAAGTATGTGGTAGTCAGATGACAACTTTTTTGGGAGTTGGTGCTCTCTTTCTATCCTGTGGGTTCAAGGGATTAAATTTAGGCCATCAGGTAGGCTTGGCAGCAAGCACCTTTACCACCAAGCCATCTCACTAGTCCAAATTCTAGCGTTTTTCTGCTTGAAAAAGTCTGTATGGAAATAATTGTATGATCTAGTGTTTTCCGCTAAAGAGGTATATTACTAGTTTTTACTTAATTTTCTCTCATCATTGTTATTCAAGTGCAAAAAAAAGTGACTGCCATATAACTGGGGGCGAGGGGTTGTGCAGAATTGCCTTCTGGAAGAGGTCTGACCTCAAATAATTTTCTTCATTTGTCTTTGGAGTGAACCATGATTCATGTTAGGAATCAAATAATCCCTTCAGTTACAGCAGAGTCAGGCTTTCTGTCCTGGCCCAGGACATAGTTTAGGTTTTTGTTCTTCTATTTATTTCCATGAGACAATTTCCTGTTTTCCAAACGTTATCTTTTTTTCCGGACTTTACAGTTCTCCTTGGGACACACACTTAATTCCAATTTCATTTCTTCCTCTGGAAATCATCTTCAGGACTGAGGGCTCACCCCTTTCAAGCTTTCCCGAACAGCTTGTGTCCTGCCCTCCTCTTTCTAATAGTCTTAATACTTAGTACTTTCTAGTGAACTTGCCTGCTTTAAAGTTATTTATGTGTTTACCCTTCTATTGTAGAGACTGTTTAAGTTCCTTTTAGTGCAAATACTTTTGCTTGATCACCTGTCAAAATCTTAAAGGGGATGGTAGAGATATATAGCTCAATAGTTTAAAAAGGTCTTGCGTTCGATTCTCAACACTCACGTCAGGTGGGTGACAATAACAAGCCTTCATGGGCATCTGCGTTCATGTTCTCTCTCTCTTACATATAAAAACAGTACAGGTTTGTTTTTTTTTGTTTGTTTTGTTTTTCGAGACAGGGTTTCTCTGTGTAGCTCTGGCTGTCCTGGAACTCACTCTGTAGACAAGGCTGGCCTCGAACTCAGAAACCCACCTGTCTTTGCCTCCCAAGTGCTGGGATTAAAGGCGTGCGCCACCACCGCCCGGCCAAGTACAGCTTTTTAAAAAAAATATTAAAGATTATTTTATTTTTTTAACGGTATAAAATTGCGGCACTAAAGACCACAACGGTCATGTCAAGTACAGAGAGTTGCGCGTGCGCAGCGCAGGCACTGAAAGCGCCCTAGGAGAACTGCGCATGCGTGGCAGGCCAGGTCTTGCGCGGAGTCTCGTCCAAGCATCCGGAGCGCGCGTGCGCGTGCGCGGGGCGGAGCGTGCAGCCCTTGGCGCGGCTAAAGGTTCCTCATCCCCGGCTCTGGTGGTTGTTTAGTACCTGCTCGGCGTGGAGAGGGACGGTCCCTGTCTGAGTTATGGATTTTGAAAATCTCTTTTCAAAGCCCCCCAATCCGGCCCTCGGCAAAAAACCGGCCGCCGACCCTAAGGAAAGGTGATCCACACGTTTTGGTCCTTTGCAGGGGCATCGCCTGGGCTCCGCCCCCTCGCTCCTGGGAGCCCGCGAGCTGCGCTGGCGCGTGGACCGAGACCGGAGCTGAGAGGTCGCGAGGGGAAGTGGGGTGGAAGTCAGAGTAGGAACTGCGGGCGAGAGCAGTGGCCGGGCGGCGGGAGGAGGCCCCAGCTTCTGTGACTCTGCCCCCAGGGGCTGGCTGCCCCCTTTGCACGTGCGCCTAACGTGTTTGCTGTCACCTCCGAGAAGGCTTTGCCGGCACCTATGGTTCCTGAGGGTTGAAGGATACATAGACTGCTCTGCCAGTGATCCGAAACCAGAAATCCCAGAATAAAGCAGCAAGCACCATTTCGGCTTAGTATTTCTGTTAAGTTGGAAAAGCATGTTGTTTATCTTGTACTTAGGGCAGAGTGCAGGATTTCTGTGCAGATACCCATACTCTTCTTAGTTTTTTTGAGTTGATAGTGCCCTCAAACGCCATCTCTCCTAAATCCTAGTCTTCTATGTTCTCTCCTTCCTCAGTGGAACCCTTGACACACATCCTTCACGAGTTTTTTTCCACCCACATTAAGATATATTTCCAGTGTTTGGCTGGGCTTGTTAATCTCAGCATTTGAAAGGCAGAGGCAGGCAGATCTTGGGAGTCTGGGACCAGCCTGGTCTACATAGCAAGTTCCAACCCAGCCTCGGCTACATAGTGGAAACCCTATCTCAAGGGAAAGGGAATATATGTATATGTTCACTGCTCTGTCTCAAATACCTTAGTGGAAACTATCATCCTAATTGGGCTACCATCACTTTACTGTGTACTTAATGTGAAATTTTTAGTCCTCACATCAACCTTAGGAAGAAAATGATGTTCTTGGTTTGTTTTGTTTTTGTTTTTGTTTTTTGTTTTTTGTTTTTTGTTTTGTTTTGGTTTTTCGAGACAGGGCTTCTCTGTGTAGCCCTGGCTGTCCTGGAACTCACTCTGTAGACCAGGCTGGCCTGGAACTCAGAAATCTGCCTGCCTTTGCCTCCCAAGTGCTGGGATTAAAGGCGTGTGCCACCACTGCCTGGCCGATGTTCTCATTTTACAGATGAGAAAATTGAGGTATGGTCACCCTTCAAGGTTGTGCAGTGAGTGGCAGACCTAGGATTAAGGTGCTCATGTTGGGTTACTTCATTACATAAGAATTCATCACCCAGGTTCTAAAGCAGAATTACTCATGGGAATGAAGACCTATTGATACTGTGAAGAAATGGACACTTAATTACTTGCAGGAGATAACATGTAAGAATAGCAAGATAAATGAGTTGAAAATTTTAACATGTATGAGAATTGAGTAAGATTTAAAGAAAAATAGTTAACAGTTTAAACAGTATATCTGTTTACTAAAGTTTGGCTGAAATATGTAAGAGATATTTGGATTGACCCAAAAAGATAGATGAAGACTGGTCTGGTGTCTATTCATATGCCTGTTTTTTCACTTTTAGGTCTTTTTCTTTCTTTCTTTCTTTTTTTTTTTTTTTGGTTTTTCGAGACAGGGTTTCTCTGTGTAGCTCTGGCTGTCCTGGAACTCACTCTGTAGACCAGGCTGGCCTCGAACTTAGAAATCCACCTGCCTCTGCCTCCCAAGTGCTGGGATTAAAGGTGTGCGCCATCACCACTGCCTGGCCTGAGGAAGCTAGTCTTACCTGTGGTTGTTAGCCACCATATAGGTGATAGGAATCAAGCCAGGTTCTCTGGAAGAGCAGCCAGTGCCCTTAACTACTAAGCCATTTCTTCAGCTTGAAACAGGGGTGACTTTTTTCTTGCTAAGAATACTCACTTATTTAAAAACCACCTCTAATGACTGAAGACACATCATTCTGGGTCATGGTGATAGAACAGTAAATGAATAAAATATAGAAAAATACTAGTGGTCATGAATTGTATATAATTAAGGTGGACCACAGATCCATAGTATTTTAGATGCTAATGAAAGCCATGGGGTAAATGAAAACTCAAGTGAGGCGGTAGGAAGTATTTGTGGAATAATAAGAATAGTGTTGTAAAGAAGATAGTTAGCCGGGCGGTGGTGGCACACGCCTTTAATCCCAGCACTTGGGAGGCAGAGGCAGGTGGATCTCTGAGTTCGAGAGTTCGAGGCTAGCCTGGTCTACAGAGTGAGTTCCAGGACAGCCAGGGCTACACAGAGAAACCGAAAAACCCTGTCTCGAAAAAAACCAAAAAAAAAGAAGATAGAGATAGTTAAGGAAAAGTCTTACTGAAAGGTGGTTTTCATGGTGGTTATCCAGGTAAATCAGTTGAATGGGAAGCTGGCTGTTTGGTTTTTAAGGGCAGGGATTTGGAGACTAGGGTATTGGAATCAGCTGTATAAGATGATATTAGTAGCCAGAAAATTGAAAGACATCACCGAGAAAGTATAGAGAAAAGAAAGGTGAGGACTGGCTTTGTTGAGAGTTGCAAAGATGAAGAGCCAACCAAGAAGATTAAGAAGTAGTAGTGGGATATGGTGGCACACTTTAACCCCAGCTGTGGAAGCAGAAGCTAGTGGATCTGAGTTTGAGGACCCTCTTTTTTTTTTTTTTTTTTAAAGCAACAGTAGGGAAAAAAGAAACAGAACAGCCCAGTGTTGCTGGAGCTGGTTTACTGGACTGAGGGTCATGGTTCCTAAGGGCAGTAGAATGACTGCGTGTGGTTTAAGGCACAGTTCTCCCAATCGATATTTTCTATCCCTTAATCTTGGGTTCATTTTGAGTTCTGCTAGAACAGTGGTTCTCAACCTTCCTACTGCTGGGAACCTTTAATTCTTCGTGTTGTGGTGAACCCCAAACACAAAATTATTTTTGTTTCTACTTTATAACTGTAATTTGCTGCTGTTATGAATTATAATGTAAATTTCTGATATGTGACTCCTATGAAAGGGTTGTTCAACCCCCCTCCTCCAAAGGGGTGTAGATCCACAGGTTGAGAACCACTGTGCTAGAATATGCTGGGGAAATTACCTCTCACATTATCTATGCATGGTCAACCTCTCATGCCTTGAGTTCTTCATCTTCATGTTTGGGTGTTTGTCTCCTAACCTCTGAAGGCATCCTGCATTGTACCTGACATACCTTCTCTTTTACACTCCTCTTCCATATCTTTTCTGTTTAGAAAATCCCAAATCAAGCTTAAGTGTTCCTTATATGTGTACCTGTATTAATTTTCTCCCAAGGAGATAGGAAGCTCTCAGAAGGCAAAAGGACAGCTTGTCCTTCTCCTATTGTAGCTTGTGACATGAGGCCACAGCCTGACATGTGGTGAATATTTGGTATATAGTGAGTGATTGGACTGAGGAATGACTGTGATTCATGTACAAGCTACTTCTTAAGCATGAAGATTATATAATACAAAGTTTCAGTTTTATAGGTTATTCACATACATAATAACAATTATTGATCAATATCATCATTATTATTGTTATTTTGAGACAGGGTCTCACTGTGTAGCCCTGGCTGGGTTAGAACTTGCTGTGTTATATACTATGCTCTACTGGCCCAGAAGTCACAGAGATCCACTGACCTCTGCTTCCTGAGTGTTGGGATTCAGGACTGCACCATCATACCTGGCCTACATTGCTGTTTGTATTAATGCTCTCTTGTTATTGCTATAGAGTATTTAGAGTAGACTTTGAACTTCAGGTTTAAGACAAACCCAAGCAATGAATTTTAATGCTGTGCAATAAACCCTTTTGTGTTATTTGCTATTTTTGCTGCAGAATTGATGAAATAGATGGTACTGAAGTTGAAGAAACACAGACAGAGAAAGTCAAATGGAAAGTAAAGCGGGACTGTGAACAAATTCCCAAGAAAGTAAGATTCAGCTGGCATGTTGAACAGACGGCTCTGGGTGACTGTGAGCATGAGGATCTGTTTGTGTCACTGTATTCAGCAGTCAGGGCCCAGTTACTTAGGTCAGGGAAACTTGGGCATCTTTCAGTAACTTTCTTGTCCTCATCATCAGATGGAGAATGTGCCAGTATTGTAACAAGATCAGTTTCCCTGTTCCTGAAATGGACTATAAACTCTTTTCAAAAAGCTTCTTTCCTGTCAACTTAGATGTAAAATTTAAGGTCTGATTCACTAACTCAACCAACCTTAGTAATTATTGATGGATTGAAAACCCAGATTAGTGTTGGGACTGCTGTACCAGGATACAACATAGCAGTAAGAACAACACAAATACATTATCCTGTAGTTCTTAGGCTGGAATTGAGTCTGAGAGCAAGGTGTTGGCAGGGTTGTTCTTTCTGGGATGTGTGAAGAAAGATCTGTTCCAGACTCCTCTGGTTTCTATGACTCTGGGAAACATCCTGACCTCATCTGCCATGGCTTGATTTCCAAATAGGCCATACTCTGAAATACTAAGGATTAAGACATATGCATAAGAACTTAGAGTGGGGGTGGGGGTGGGGGAAGACCCAAGTTCAGTCCATCACAAAGTCAATATCTGTTCCTCTTTCTCTCTTTCTTTCTTTCCTTCTTTCTTTCTTTCTTTCTTTCTTTCTTTCTTTCTTTGTAAAATTTTTGGAGGAAGCTGTAAATGTTAACATATTTCATAAGAATATGTTCATATCGGCAGTAAAGCTTGTAAGGCACAAATTGGCTTTATAAAAAGATCCAGGAGAGAGAATACAGCTGGCACACCTTCATCTCCTGGAGAAGCCTCTGAGCTACCTGTCTTTGCATGTGTAGCTGCCATGGAAAAGAACTGAGGCTTACTTCCAGAAACTGCACATTATTCCCACAGGGGTAGTCAGTCATACAGGCTTTACATTCCTTCATGCCTGTAGTTCATAATCTCTGTACTATCCCCCAGCAGATAGGCAGGTGGCATCTTAAATTTTAAGTCATTTCCAAAAAGGTCACATGAAAAGATGGGCACCCAGGTTATCCCCAAGCAGAGTTGCTTGAACTCAGGCACTTCCATCACTAATACAAGTATATGTAGGGTTAGGACTAACTTAGGGTAATCAGGTAAGCACTGCAGGTCAAGACAAAGTATTGCTGTCTCCTTCCTCCATGTTAGCCCCTGACATGAGCAGTCCTACCTTGTATACTGACTCTTCCTTGTTCTTTATAGTCTTGCTGCTTGTGTGGTCATCCCTAAGGATACAGTTTAAAATCCTTAAATCTAGTGTGTGCTCCCTCATCTCTGTTGCAGCACAGTAGGTAGTCCATCGTTTGAACACAGGACATCTTATTGGAGGTAGGCACTGGGCTTGCTTTCATTAGCAGTGCTCTCACTTCTTCCACTTGTAAGGGCCTGTCTTGTCCCTGTGGTTTTACATTGTCACTCTTGTTAAAAATTAAGTGTTTATGTTCAGTCTTTTCAGCTCTCTGTGCTTGTCCTCCGAATTATCTTTTCTTTCCCTAGCACTTACAGACTTAATTACTGCAGTTTTATAATGATTTGGTCTTACATAAGCAAGTCCTGGTACCATTGTGTATTTCTTCTTTAAAGTATCTTCGTTATCTTTTTCTCTTTCTCTCTTTTTTTTTCTTTTTGATTTTCAAGATAGGTTTCTCTGTGTAGCCCTGAATATTCTGGAACTCTCCCTGTAGAGCAGGCTGGCCTCAAATTCAGGAACCCACCTGTCTCTGCCCCTCAAGTGCTGTGACTGAACATGTGTACCACCACACCACCTATCTTGTCTTGGCTATTCTTATATATAGGTCCATCTATATTAATTTAAAAATAGTTTGTCAGGTACCACATAGAGTCTTGGTAGGCTTTTTACTGAGAATGTGTAAAATTTATAGATTATTTAGAGGGGAATTATAATCTTTAGAATATTGTACAGTCTTCGTCTTAAATATTTCTAAGCATTTTATGTGTGTGGCTGTTGGCAGGAGCTCATGTTTGTGGAAGTGTGTATCTCTGTATCTGTATGTATGTATTCATGAAAGCACCAGAGGACAACTTTGGCGTTATTCACCCTTCATTTGTGTGTGTGTGTGTGTGTGCGTGTGCGTGTGTGTAAGTAATATATTTATTGAGACAGGGTCTCTCACTTGGAACTCACCAAGTGAGAGACTTGCTAGCAGGTAAGCCCCAAGGATTCTCCTATCTCTTATGTCCTGCTTTTTTTCTTTTTCTTTCTTTTTTTTTTTTTTTTTTAAGGTGGGTTCTGTAGCTTAAACTCAGGTCCTGTGCTTGTAAAACAAGTTCTTTGCTTACACACCCTCAAGTGTCCATAGTACACATAGTTTTTCTTTGCAAAGTCTTACATCTTAGCATACCTCTTTGCCCACTAAATAAATTAAGAGACTAAAACCATAGTCTGTTGATAGGAATAGGCCAACTTCTTTGTAAAGCATTTTAGTAAATCTTGATGACATTGTGGGTTGTAGTCTTGTCACAACTAAGCATAGCAGAAGCAGCTTATACACGAACGGGTATGACTGGTTTCCAGTAGAACTTTATAAAGCCAGGTGGCTAAAGGAAGAATGCTGCAGTGGCTTACTCCTGGACTTGAGAGGTTGGCATGGGAGGATTGCTGAGTGTTAGGCCAGGGTGGGCTGTATAGCAAGAGCCTGTCTTGGTAAAATGAAAGAACAAACAACTTTATGTCTAAAGTGCTTTATATGTATTTATCATAATTATAAAATTGATATATCCATGTTGCTAAATACAGACATCTTAATGACCAAAGCTCATGCAAATATTTTTTAAGACAGGATTTTGTGTAATTCAGGCTGGTCTTGAGCTGCGAAATTGAGCCTCTGCTTGAACTTTGGATCTTCCTGCCTTCCCTCATGCTGAGATTATAGACATGTAAATACATTTGTGCAAGTTCACAATCTTTCTTCAAATTACCATTAAAGATAATATGTCACTGTAGTTTATTTTAAGTTTTGTATTCTGTGTGTGTGTACACATATATGTATATGTATGTGCATACGTGTAGAGGCCAGAGGTTGGAGACAGGTCTCTCTCTGAATCTCGAGTTCACTGATGCACTTGATGCACTGTCCAGTGAACTCAAGGATCTGTCTGTCTCCATTCACCTAGTTCTGTCTCGTAGGGACACCTATGAGGCCACCACAGCCAGCTTTTATATGGGTGCTAGGGATCTGAACTTGAGTTCTCATGCCTGCATAGGAGACACTTGACTGACTGAGCCATCTTTCTTGGCCTCCCTGTGGTTGGTTGGTTGTTTTTTGTGTATGTGTTTTAAAATTTATACTGGTTTTTTAATTGTGTGCATGAGTGTGTGTGCACTTGAGTTCTGGTTTGCCTTTCAATGCTAGAACCATCAGGTTCTTCTGGAGCTCTACTTGCAGGTGTGAGCTGTTGGACATGGTACTAGGAACCAAACTTGAGTTCTCAGGAAGAGTAGTATTATGTATTCCTAACCACAGAGTCATTTCTCCAGCCCATTTTTAATTTTGTAAAAACTTAAGGTGTTTAAAAAAAGAGTGTAGAGAATGCTATATGAAACCCATGTATCCATCATACAAATGCAATAATGGACAATTAATGGCCATTATTCCTGATATATCTTAAGTTTTGAAATTTCAGCTTTCATCTTTACTTAGTTTAAGCACCTTGGAAACACTGCAACATCACCAAAGAGTTTGCCACGTAAAAAATCAAGAAGTAAGGACTATGACCCATACAGTGATGGTGAGACATACAGTCAGGAATCAGAAGATAATTTTGACAAAGAGCTTCAGCAGTACATACAAGCCAAAGAAATAGCAAACACAAGTCAACCATCACTGCTTCCTGAAGAATCTGTGAAGAAAGCAGGAGGAGATGCCCAGCAGAGTAAGTGCTAAACTGTTTTACCGCTTAAGGTTCATCTGCAGAGGTTGTCATTGTTGTCAGTATTTATCACCTGTTCTTTATCTTATGATGAGAAGGTGACTTTTATTGTTCTTTATGTCAGATATGAGCTTGCTTGATGTGAGATACAACCCAAGACTTGGTTGCTTGATATAAAAATGCTTATTTTGTAGGAGACACTAGGCAGCTGCTAGTGAGTTATCAAAGGCTATGTCTCTATCAGAAGAAGTCTGAATCCCCGGCTTCTGCATGTATGAAGTATAGGCTGTGCCTGTTCGTATGACTCTTATTTAAAGAATTGACTGGATGATCGTGTATGTCTGCGTCCATATATTTTTAAGTGCTGGGGATTGATCACCCAGGCCTCACATGTATTAGGAAAATATGCCATCACAGAACCATATCCCTAGCATAGAAATGTATTTCTTTTTAATTTTTTAATTTTATTTTTTAAATTGAAATATATTATTTTAAATTGCTAAAATGGAATTCGGCCATAGACATGAAGGCACATGATATTCATTTCTTTTCTTTCTTTCTTTCTTTTTTTTTTTTCTTGAGATCACGTTTCTCTGTGTAGCCCTGCCTGTCGTGGAACTTGCTTTGTAGACCAGGCTGGCCTCGAATTCAGAGATCCTGACTCTGCCTCCCAAGTTCTGGGATTAAAGGTGTGTGCCACAAGAACCCAGTATAAATGAAATTCTTAATGCTTTTCATTTACTATGTTTTCCTCCAAATGTTTCTTTTATTCAAAGTATATCTATCTATAGGTAAATTTAGTGTATATGGAATATTTTCTTTTTCTTTATTTTTTTCCTTTTTGGCAGGGGTTGTGCTATGTTGAGGTGGGGTCCCATCTAGCCCAGGTAGTCTAACTCTTGCTGTGTACCTGGAGTTAGCTGTGAACTCCTGATCCTCCAACCTCAGTGTCCTCAGTGCTGGGCTTACAGTTGTGCTAGTTTGCTGTATACTGCTATGGTAAAACACCATGACAGCAACTTGAGGAGGAAAGGGATGATATCATGTTACATACTTCTGAGCAACAAACAGTCCATAACTGAAAGAAACCACGGCAAGGAATGAAGCAGAGACCATGGAGGGGTGCTGCTTACTGGCTTGCTCTCCATGGCTTTCTCAGCCTGCTTTCTTAAACCAGCCAGGTCCACCTGTCCAAGCTGGCATTACTCACAGTGAGCTGGGCCCTCACATCAGTCATTAACCAAGAACATAGCCTACAAACTTGTCTGCAGTCTGATGGAGTTATCTTACCAACTGAGGTACCTCTTTCCAGATAATTATAGTTTGTGTCAAGTTGACAAAAAACAAGCCAGCACGCAAGTACATACCGCCATCCTCTGCTTTATGACACATCTTCAAGGAAAAATCTGTAATATATGAGCTCCTAAACCTCTGTAGTTTTCTTCTCTTGTAAAACGGGAGATTCTAATTGCATTAGTCAGTTGCTGATATCTTCAAAATATTCTGGCCTGTGGCTTGCAAGATTGGTTTAATTGATTATTTTGTTCTTGTCTCCCATCCAACACTTCTTTTCAAAAACAATGCCTTTGAAATTGAGATGTTAGAGTTCTCTTTCTTTGCCTCCGCATAGCCAAGCTCCTAGAAAGTCAGGGCACTGTTGACACACAGTTTCCCCTCACTGAGCTCCAGAGTTTCCCTGAATGATTATAGGGCATATTTCTGAAGGTTAAACTGATGTCTTAACTTTATGCTATTTTTAAAAATGAACTTGCTTGTTTTTAGCTGCCAAACAAAAAAATAAAAAATCTAAAGCTGGTCACAAGAAATTTAAGCAGAAGAAAATGAAGCGAAAGTGGCCTGGCACTGGAGACAAAGGGTCAAGGGCCTTGCTGAAGAACAGTGGCTCCCAAGAAAAGGTACAAGAGTTGTCTTGGAGGAGGATGCCTTCAGGGTGTTTATCTTTCACTTCAGCTTCAGGAAGTGCTCAGTGATGTGGGGAGGCAGGAACATCCCACATAGCAGGGTTCTATGGAGACCTGTACCTGCTGGTGACTCTGGTTGTCCTTCTAACCACTGCTTCCCTCTTAGCACTGGCTGCCAGCATCTATTTCAGCTTTGTGATTTCCCTGTTGGCCCAAAATACTAATGCACCAGCCCTTTGGTCTCTGAGTGTTACGCCATCGTTATCTATAGAAAACTGGGTGGCAGAAGGAAACAGCCTTGGAGACAGTTGAAAGGCCACATAGTCCTACTCAGTTTATATACTGCAGTCCTTCAGCATTTGGGCTGATTACTTCTGGAAATTAAAACAGCTGTTTCTGTGCTTTGGCCTTAACAGTCCTGCTCCTGGTACTTTGATTTTGCTTTGTAACTGCCCTTCCTTAATATGCATATGTACTTCAGCATAGGACAGTAAGTGACTTCTCTAGACTCTGATTTTCTGAAGACTTTTAAACTGAATGACAAGGTTTTTATTAGCTTACACACAGGGTCAATAGTTTGGGGAGGTTAAAATAATTAGAAATACCAAGTGTTAGCTGAGCATGGTTGTGAATGCCTTGTAGTCCCAACTGCTTAGGAATGGAAATAGGAGTTCAAGACTATCCTGGGTAACAGTGAGATCCCGTAGCAAAAGGGGCGGGGGATACCAAATATTAAAGATTGAAATAAACTTATATAAAAGCAGTCCCTTTCCCCATATTTTACAAGTAGGGAATCTGAACTCAGAGTTCAGATGGCTGACTGTCCCACACAGAGCCAAGTCAGGGCTGAACTTTGTTTCCTAACCTCTCTTCTATGTCTTAATATTGACTCAAATGATTCTTCACGCAGAACTGACAGCCCTTCTATATGAAAAGCAAATTCTAAGCCTGTCTTAGACTCACATAGCAGAATCATTTAAAACCAAAGATTTGTACTGAGATACATGTATGATTTTTATGGTCTTAATAAATCAATAACTTGATATTCATGCAAAGCAGGTGATTAAGGGGCACGTTAGCTCTTTAATTGCACATACCATATTATACCATATTGCTAAACCATGTTTACTACTTAGGCTGCAGAAGTTCTAAGCTCTGTCACAGTTAACACATAAAAATAGTTTTTATTTCTAAAGGGCTAAAATAGATTTTAAGGTTCTTCTTTTTTAAATATTAAACTGTAAAAATGTATCGTTGGAGCTATAGAATTTCCACTGCTTCTTGTTAATTGTGATTCCTAGCTTTGTTTCCAAAATACTGAAGCTCTTTCTATTTTAGATTTCTTTTTATCACAAGTAATATATTTTCTTTCTTTTTTTTTTTTTTTTTTTAGTTTTCTTGTAGTCATTTTTTACAAAATAAGGGCAAAGTACAATAAGATAATCAAGTTTTATCAATACTAGTATTCAGTGGTTGAATGCTGTTGAAACTGATAAGCATTCATTTTCTACACTGATATACCAAAGTTCAACTCTTTTTTTTTTTTTTTTAAAGATTTATTTTTTGTATATGAGTGCTCTATGTACAACTGCATGCCAGAAGATGGCATCAGATCCCGTTACAGATGGTTGTGAGCCACCATGTGGTTGTTGGAAATTGAACTCAGGACCTCTGGAAGAGCAGCCAGTGCTCTTAACCGCTGAGCCATCTCTCCAGCCTCCAAAGTTCAACTCTTGAAGGCCCTTTTAGAAGAGATACTTTTTTGACCCAGTGTCTTGCAGTATAGCCCAGGCTGGCCTTGAACTTTAACCCTGTTTCAGCCTTGGAATGCTAAGACAATGCATTGGTCACCATGCGCAGCTATCAGAGAGACAGTCGAATGTAGTAAAAGTTTAAAGCATTTTTGAAAAATAAAGTGGAATATTTAATTTTCTTGTTCTCGTGTTTGTGTTTTGTATTCTAGGCTGATGCTGAGGAGAAGCAGCCCCGTGTGCGGATGAGTCAGGGCTTTATCAACCAGCACACGGTGGAACGCAAAGGGAAGCAAGTTTGCAAGTACTTCCTTGAAAGGAAGTGTATTAAGGTATGAGAGTGTGCAAGCAAAAATACACTACAGTATAGTCATGGCAAGAGGGTTCTAGAACTGCTGTCTCCATGTGACAGTCTTAAAACATACCTGTAAGGTTTTAAAAATTCTTTGCTCTTGGAAAAAGTTTAGTTTGAGAATTAGTGAAATGATTTATGTTTTAAAGGTAATTTATTAAAGATGCTTTACATTAAAAATGTTTTAAGAATTTTTAGAAGTTCAGCAGGCTAAGTCATGTGCTTAGATCCTAGCTAGTTAGGATTTACTGGACTTGCTTGCCCATTCGAAGTTTAGTAACAGTTAACTTGCAAAGGTCTAATTGTGAGACATAACTTATACTTATTCTTACACCCAGGGAGACCAGTGTAAGTTTGATCATGATGCAGAGATAGAGAAGAAAAAGGAAATGTGTAAGTATTACGTACAAGGATATTGTACCAAGGGTGAGAACTGCCTGTATTTACATAATATCCTTTATCACAAGATTCCCTGCACGCTTCATATAACATGAAAGATGTAGACGTTTTAATAAACTACAATTGTTGCTATAACGAAGGTGTTCTATCTAAGCCCAACTTGGTATCAGAGTGATTATATTGTATATGCTTTTGAATGAACCTTTCAGAAAGCTCTCTTTTTTTTTTTTTTTTTTTTTTAAAGATTTATTTATTTATTATATATGAATACACTGTAGCTGTCTTCAGACACACCAGAAGAGGGCAGCAAATCTCATTACGGATGGTTGTAAGCCACCATGTGGTTGCTGGGATTTGAACTCAGGACCTCTGAAAGAGCAGTCAGTGCTCTTAACCACTGAGCCATCTCTCCAGCCCCCTCAGAAAGCTCTCTTAAAGTATAGGTCTGTTCTGCTTTTGGTGGGTGGTGGAAGGTTTAAGAGACCTAGTCACACCCAGGAGAATGTTATTTCTGCTGATAGTGTTTAATTGAATCTGTATTAGTATAGAAAAGTAGAGATGTTTTCTGGAGGTTCACCTTAACCTGAAGGTAGCCTTAGTTCTAATGGCCAAACTTGTTATGAAATCATGAAATACAAGTATTTACAGTAATAAGACCATTGGTCACATAGAAGTTTCAGATTTAACTTGACATTTCCTAAGTAATAATGTTGTATGAATTGGTTCTACTTTAACAAACCTCATACACAAAAGATCCAGATTTGTAATACCTGCTGCTGTCATTGAGTTTATTTCACCCCATTCTCAAAGAATATTTTACAATAACTACATCTCAAGGTAATTAAAATACATTTCTTTCATCTGTGAGTGAAACTTAACCTGTGGCCCATTGTGAGACTGCTTGGAGAAAGATTATCTCATGTTTTAAATAGAAAATTCAGTGATTCTACTGGTAAGAAAGATGTAGAGGAAATAGTTATTAAATTAATAACAAATCATTTCAATTGGATAAAATTATTATTTTCCTTAACACTGTGCTACATGAATATCCTTGCAAGTTTTATCATACAGGAACAAAATGTTATCAGGGTGATCACTGTAATTTTTCTCATGCCCCGCTGACTGCTGAAACACAAGAACTATTGGCTAAAGTAAGTACAGTGGTAATCTTGTTTTTCTTTTTAAAAAGAGTATATTTGGACGGAGGATGATATTTCAAAAGATACTTTTCTTTAAGGAGAGATCCTTGTGGGCTAGTGTATAATAATTTAAGTTTACTTAGGTTTGGAAGTTACTTTATACTTTTATTGCCAGTAAAAGAAAGATTAATATTCATTGACAGTATGAATGAGAATGGTCTTAAACTCCTCAGTATAATCAGCAATTTAAAATTTTTATTTACTAAGTATGTGTGTGTGTGCAGGGTGTGGCAGTCAGAAGAGACTTTGGGGAGTTGCTTCTCTCCTCCTCATGTGGTCCCTAGGAGCAAGCTCAGATTGTTGGGCCTGGCAGCAGGTGCTTTTCCTCACTGAGCCATCTCTTCACTCTAGTTAGCAACTTTTAACACCTATTTTAAATCAAGACAGAGGAAACAGAGACATACATAAGTGTGGAAGAGAAGTCAAGACTCATGACTGACACATTTTAGTTATGTTGAAGACTGGTTAGATATCTTGTCTTCAGAAGTTCTTAGTCTATGAGAAAGGTTATTGTGAAGTTACAGCTATTGACACTATCTCCATAGATTAGTTGAGAGTAGTCTCTCCAAAATTAAATTTAAGTAAATGTGAAAATAAAAAAATCCTCCTAAAGTCACCTGTGGCCAAAGCTCCCTGAGTATAGACAAATATGAGAAAGTCAGAGGTGCGTCTCGGCAGGTCTTCATCTCTAAAGAGGGAAGCTCCATGGAACCACAGATCATACTGGATGCTTATTTATGAGAAATTTGATTTTTCTTTTTGTAATACCAAATACTGTTAGGTTGGATATTATAGAGCCATTTGAGAAGTATAAGATAGGACAGTGTATCCAGTAAGTATTAGTGAATAAAAATCACACGGGGTTTTATAGTGATTGTTTTTTCTGTATTAGGTTTTGGATACTGACAAGAAGTCCTGCAAATAGACTAAAAAGGTAAAAGTGACACTACTAATTTTTTTTTTATTTTTTGAATCATCTCTTGAAATTGGGATAAAAGCCTTAATAGAGGTTTTTCTGTTTTCAAATTAAAGTGTTTTTCCTTTCTTTCCTCAATAAAAATATACTCAAATATTGCTTCTCTGTCTGAGTTTGCCTGCCATGTGGTTATTTTTTGGGAGGTGGGGGTTGCCTGCTATGTGTTGTGTGTGTTGTGTGTGTGTGTGTGTATTTTCTCTTTCTTTAGTTCTTTCTGTCTGTTTGATTTTTTAGATAGGATTTCTCTTTGTAGTGCTGGCTTCATGGAGCTTGCTGGTGTTGAACTCCCAGAGCTCCACCTGCCTCCTGAGTGCCACGATAAAAGCTGTGCAGTACCACATCTCCCCTTATGTAACACTTTCTTCTATGACTGTTATTATTAGGTGTCAGTAGTGGAGATTTTGATTAGTTTCATTTTTTTTGAATGCACATTGTTACTGTAATTCTTTATAAATGTTTCTTGGTTTAAATTGGCAGCAGTTACTCAGGGTCTGTACCAAGGAGTAGAAGTGTTTTGTAACCCTTTACATTACTGTAAGCTATAGAGTTTCTGGTCCAACTTTGTTAATACTTTGTACTTGACTTTTCTCTTAGTGGATGTAAAAATGGCGCCTCGTGGCTTATTTGAAGGAAACATAGCATCTTCAGCCTTCAGGCCCTTCAATTTCCTCGTTAGTGTAATATGGTTTACTCTGTTTTGCCAAGGGTTTTTATTCACCTGGCTGTCCATTTTCATTGCTTTTATATATTCCTCATACTCCTTTGTGACAACTGTGAAGAATTTCAGGTCTTTTCCCATTTGTAGGCTGTCTTTTTTTTGAGGCAAGGTCTTGTCGTGCATTATTGTTTTCCAGTGTTGGTTTGAGTATTCTGGATCTCTTAGAGTCTATATATGAATTTTTTGGAAACTTCTTTCCTTCGTCCCCTCCCTCCCCCAAATGGTAATGTCATAGTGATTTCATTGAACATGTGGATTGCTTTGGGTAATAGTGACGGCTTGACAATATTGTCTTCATATCTGTGAGCTTTGTGTTGTTTATAGTGTTTGTAAGTGTTTTCCTTGAATGTATGTCTGTACCATAGTCAGGCCTGATGCCCACAGAGGGCAGAGGAGGATGTTGGATCCTCTGGTACTGGAGTTACATGTGGTTGTGAGCTGCAGTGTTGGTGGTAGGAAGCAAGCCTGAGTCCTCAGAAGGGAACAAGGATTATTCATCACTGAGGCAACTCACCAGCCTCCATATCTGTGAACTTTTCCATGTAATCATAAAGGAGTTGTTATATTTCCTTTCAGCTCTATTGTTGTTAATTTAGTCTTTTTATTTTTTTTATTTTTTTACTTTTTTGGTTGAGACACAAGGTCTTTCTATGTAGTTCTAGCTGTCCTGGCACTTGCTATGTAGTCTAGGCTGGCGTAGAACTCACATAGATCCCTCTGATTTTGCCCCCAAGTGCTGGGATTAAATACTCAATATAGTTTTGGGTTTGTTTGTTCTTTATGTCATTGTATCTTTCTGTGTTTTCTGGGTTTATGTTTAGTTCTAGCTTTAGATTTTGTATTTCAGTTCAAGGTGTTCCTTCTGTTTTCCTCAAGAAGAATATTAAATTCATTTTGGATTTTGTTTTTGTCTGCTGTGTGGATGCTTCTGAGGGGTGGGGGTGGTTAAGTTAGTAATTTTCACAAGCTGATGTGTTTATTTTCTTCTGCAGCATGTAGAGGACAAATCTATTCCTGTTCAGGACTTTTGAAGACTGATGACTTGGAATAGTTCATAAGATTCCTCGGTTAAGGCTCCTTCCTGTGTCGTTGTGATCGTGTGCAGCTCCTGTTCGATGTGCACAGTGGTGGATCTAGTGCTCAACAGAAGGGTGGTTCTGCACTAGGCCAGGCGAGGAGAACCTGCATGCTGGATAGAGGTCGATGCTGTGCTATGCTGTGCTAGCTTGCAGAAATCTCGAACAAGCACAAAATAGGCAAAGAGAGGTTAAACGAGGATGGGAGAAATATCAGGAAGGATGATGATAGCTGCTAGGGGATATTGGGGTAATAAATAAGTCACACCTCTACATGTCATTAAATACTTTGCACAATGTTTAGCAATAATTCAGAGTTCCACTTTATGGTTTAGCATAAAATGTGGTTCTGTGATCTTTTATAAAAATTTCCTGTTGAATATTTGTTTCTAATTATTACCATTATAAATAAAGTAGGATAATATCTCTTGCTATGGTGTTTTCATACTTGATGCTCTTAACCTTTGTGTTGTTAAAATATAAGAGTATTTACCTTGGGCTGGTGAGAGATGTGTTCAGTGGGTAAAAGTGATTGCTGTGCAAGTCTGACAACCAGTGATCCCCAGATGCCATGGTAGATGGAGGGAACCAGCTTCAGAAAGGTGTCCTCTGACCTCCACATGTATGTCACTGCACGTGTGTGTGTGTGTAACACATACACAATTTTTTTTAAAGAATGTCTTTCTCATCGGCTCATAAACAGATCAAATTATATACTTGTATAAAATATAAACATGGGGGCCAGAGAGATGGCTCAGTGGTTAAGAGCGTTGTCTGCCCTTCCAGAGGTCCTGAGTTCAGTTCCTACAACCATCTGTAATGGGATCTTCTGGTGTGTCTGAAAATAGCTACAGTATACTCAGATACATAAATAAATAAATCATATATATATATATATATATATATATATATATATATATATGGGCTGGAGAGATGGCTCAGTGGTTAAGAGCACTGTCTGTGGCTTACAACCATCTATACTGGGATCTGATGCCTTCTTCTGGCTTGCAGTTGTACATGTAGATAGAACATTTGTATACATAAAATAAATCTTTTTTTTTTTAATAAATCTTAAAAACCCATAAATGTGAGTTTCAGGATGTCTTGAACACAGCGTACAACAGTATTTTCCAAATATAGCTAAGATTCTAAATATACCATGACACTATTATATTGTTTTATTAGGAAAAATAATAGCACCCTCTGATACACAGAGTTCATCATTCTGTTGACTGTACCTAGCAGAATCTTGTTGGAAAAATGAACGAAGATTATTTTGGTTGTAATTGGAGCCTATCAAATTAAAAGTTCATGCTCCAACTATCAGACTTAAGGAAGGAGGATACCAGAATAGATCCCTAGAAGGTCAGGAGGTTGTCTAAGGGTGAGCCTCTGCTCACCGTCCTATAGCTGCCTGGTGTGTTGATTGATCTCCTCCTCAGCTGTGGCTAAAGAACATGAGCAGACAGTGCTCTAGAAGCTACTTGATAAAAATTACAGAAGAAACCCGGCACTTTCAAAGGATCTGTTAGAGAACCCTTAGGTAATAAAAGTGTGCAAAGGTATGTTGTTATTACATACATTTTATCTTCTCTGAAGACCATTTTCAACTTTAAAAATGATGATCCACCCAGTGGTTTATTTAAGACCAAGAAGTGCTTATAGGGGCTCCGAAGTCAAATAGAAGTTTGTCACCATCTCACTTTTCAGTGAGGTGTTTTGAAGAGGTAAGCGTGTCAGTGAAATCTGTTAACTTGCTTTCAGTCTGGCAAAGAGACACTTTCTTAAAGCATGCCCTGTACATCCACATGGGGCTTTGTGCCTCTTTTTTTTTTTTTTTTTTTTTTGGTTTATCGAGACAGGGTTTCTCTGTGTAGTCCTGGCTGTCCTGGAACTCACTCTGTAGACCAGGCTAGCCTCGAACTCAGAAATCCGCCTGCCTCTGCCTCCCAAGTGCTGGGGTTAAAGGCGTGTGCCTTCCTGCATTAGTTCTTGTAACTACTGAAGTCATTAGATTTGTACTTTAAGATTCCATAGACGTCTCCATGGCCATGTTCTGTCACAAAATGTAAAGAAGCAACGCCAGCGCTATGATCTCAACCGCAGAGTTCCTGCTTTACTCCGGGTTGATCTGGACTTAACCTACGCCTGTAGAGATCCCAACAGAACTCTTTGCAGATGGAGACAAGCTTATTCTAAAATTCATATGAATGGACTGTGAGGACAGAATAGCCAAAACAGCCTTAAAGATAGTACATCTGGGACTGAGAATCTGGCACAGTGATAGAGTGCCTGGCTAGCATGCACAAGGTCCTGGGTTTCATACCCACTACTTCACTCACACAAAAAATGCAAAATGGCACACTACCCAAATATAAGAGTTAACTCTCTCAGTTACAGTAATCAAAGCTGACTGGCATGTGCAGTGATGCGTGTGTATCAGGGAGGCCTCTGTAATCAACTTGATGCCGACTAGAGTCATCAGAGGAACTCCTCAACTGAGGAATTACCTGAATAAGACTGTGGAGAGAACACATATGAGGGGCAACTAGTTGTCTTGATTGTTACTAATGCAGGAGAGCTCATCTCACTGTGGGTGGCACCCAGGGCAGAGAACCCTGGTCTCTATTAAAAACAAACAAACAAACAAAAACTAGCCAGATATGAGCCTGTGGATGAGCCAGCAAGCAGTATTCCTTCATGTTTTCTGCTTCAAGTTCCTGTCTGAGTTTCTACCTGACTCTCCTCAATTGTGAACTGTGACCAAATAACTCCTTTCCTCCCCGTGTTTCTCTTAGTCTGTGTTTATCACAACAGAATGAAACTCGAACACTGGGATCTTTATTTCTTCTTTGGGGCTTAGTACACTAGCTAGTCCTTTCGTGTCTGCCTGAGGGGCTTCCTTTAATAGTCCTTTAAATTAGGGTGGATATTGCTGAGTCGTTTGTATGTGAAGCATCTCTGTTTCTTCTTCCTTGAGGAACAGTCTTGCTTAGTTGGCAGGTTTCTTTTTCTTTGATTTCTGAATACATCTGTCAGCTATCATTAGGCCTTCATGGCCTCTGATATGAACTGATCTGTCACTTTTACTGAGGCTCCCTTCAACTTGAAGACTTTTTCCCGTTTGAAACTTGTTTGATTCTGCATCTGTGTCTAGGTGTGAATCTCTGAGTTTGGTCTATTTGTAGTTGTTCTAGCATCTTGGATGTACAGATTCATGTGTGTTACCAGATTTGGAAAGTTTCCAGTCATTTCTCCAAATGTCTTTTCTCCTCTTTCCTCTCCTTCTAAAACCTTCAGTGTTAGCAGCCAGGTGCCTGGGATCCTCTGGCTCTACCTGGATAGGCAAGGAGCTCTCCCAGTGCCAGCAGACTGGGGCTTTTGAGTGCAAGATGCTAGAGTTGAACACCTGTGGACCCAGAAGCTCATAGCTCCAAACCCTGAGAGCTGGATCCTGTCGCTTCCACCTTAGAAGCTGATACTTAAAGCTTTGCACATTTATGTTGGAGAGGCTGGGCTTTCATCAGCAATGGCACTCTTCCTGTGTCAGCTACTGCCTGAGCTCCTAAACTTTGAGCAGCATGGATGGCAACAGTTACAGTATGAAGCTGTAGGAGGAGCTAAGGTGGGAGGAGTAAGGAGAGGAAGAGGAGGAGTAAAGAGATGTAGGAGGAGGAAGACCCACACAGGTATGGAGAGCAGTCTTTAGTAACAACTTATATTTAGGTTAGCTAATTGGGAAAAAAAACTCTAATTGTATGGGCAAACCTTTGGTTAATATTTAAGCATTAGAGTCTCATTTTCCTACCAGGCCCGCGTGGATGATGGGATGGTCTGGGCAATGCCCAGCCTTGCGGAGACAGCATGGAAGATTGGCAGAGCCATCTCCCACGCTGGCGTCTCATGGGTAGCAGGGCTGGTATTTCTGGCTGGCCATTTCTAGCTGCAGCGCGCACGTGGCCTCTGGCCGTGGAACATGGTGGCTGAGCTAGGCAGAGCTGCTGCAGCTTAGATAGTGGGCTTGACTAGTGGCTGGCTTAAATAATTACTTCAACATTGAAGCTCTCATACAGACCTAGGTGCTGGCACCTTCAGGCCCACAGCAATGTGTTACAGCTCCTAGACATAGGATGCCAAGATCTTCAGCCTTGACAACAGCTAGTATTACAGATCTCTGGCCCAGGGCATTGGGCATTTCGGTCATGGCAGCTCTCTTGCAGCAACCAGGACCCCCAGTTTCTCAGCCCTTGTCTTTGTTACTTCTGCCTCCCAGTTCTGATCTCAGAAACTCTCTAGCTGTCCCCTCAGTGCTCTGTCACATAGCTACTGCTCTGCGACCACATCTGCTGTGCCGGAATGTTGAGGCCCATTCTAGTACTAATACTAAAAAGTGGATGTGTTCATTATTTATCCCTTTGCTGTGACAAAATACCCAACGTGAAGCAGCTTAAGGAAAGGAAGGTTTGTTGGTTCACAGTTCAAGGGCATGGTGTTTCATCTCTCCCCAGAATAAAGGATTCTGAGGTTCTGGAGAGGGCAGCTTAGAGGAGAAGTTTTAGGCAGGTGAGATTGGTTGGTACTCATAAAACCTGGTGAATCAAGCCTGTGTGGATGAAAAGCGGGGGTGGGGGGAACAAGCATCCTCATAGTCCTGTTTCCCTTCTGGAGGTATGGACAGACTACTCATGGAACACTGATGTAGAGGAACGCATCCCTAGACTCAGCAGGTAGAGGAGAGGGAGCTGACCCAAGTCGGGGCAAGCGCCTGACCTCACACTTCTTTTTAACTACAGATTGAGCAGCAGTAAGGGTGGAGGAGCCCCAATTCTTCTCAATAATACGTCTCTCCCAGGTTTCAGCGCCAGATACTAGAATTTAGAGATGTAGAGGAGAGACTTGAGTAAGAAAGGTGCTGAGTCAGATGTCCTCCAACGAGACTTTATTAATATCAATGGCACATCAGTGGTCTCAGATAAAAAAAGCTCCAGCCGAGCCTGCAAAGACAGAACAAAGTGTCTACTTTTAAGGTTTCCTCTGCCACCCCTACTCCCCCACCCTCTGGCCAGGGAGGCTGAGGAGATGGCTCAAGGGTTAAGAGCACTGACTATTCTTGCAGAGAACCCAGAGTTAATTCCAAATTCCCACATTGGCAGCTAACAATCTGTAACTCTAGTCCCAAGGAATCCAACATCTTCTAGCCTCCACAGGCATTATGCACACACATGAAACACAGACACACATGGACAAAAACGCCCATACATACAAAAAAAGTTAATTAAAAATATATTTAGGACCAGGCAGTGGTGGCGCACGCCTTTAATCCCAGCACTTGGGAGGCAGAGCCAGGCAGATTTCTGAGTTCGAGGCCAGCCTGGTCTACAGAGTGAGTTCTAGGACAGCCAGAGATAACAGAGAAACCCTGTCTCAAAAAA